CTATTCAACTTATTAAGGCCCCTATAGTATGGATGGCAACCCGAAGTGCAGACATTAGCAGGCCCGAAAACCTTCACTCAGCCATGAACCTCAAACGGTTCAGGGTTTTAATAAACAGCAAGTCTTAAACCCTAAAGCAGAGATGTCGAAAGCCTGCCCGAAGAGTCCTGGACCTAGCCAGCTGCGGGGGTCCGCGAGTTCCCTTCTTCCCTCCTAGTGCCGAAGCCTCACCAGACTAGAGCTGTTTAGGGTTCTTAGGGTTTAGGGGGNNACCCCTAAACCCCTAAACCCTGGCTGCTAAACCCCCAGACCCTGAACGCTCCGCATCCACATGCGCGGCACGGGGCTTGGGGGTTCGCAAGCTGGAAAGAAGATATTATAATACACTTTAAAATAAAATATCCTATTTGGTTAAATAAATTAAATATTTTTTTTTCTGAGTGCTTCGGCTGCAGAGACTGGGAGCCGAACCCAAAATAAGGCGATGCTATGAGGCTCTGGAGGGGTTCGGGTTTAGGGTTTAGGTATTTGGAGCAGCTAGGAGCTTCGACAAGCTTCAACCAGAAGTAAGATCAAGTAAGATCACGTCTACAAGAATGAGTGATCCCACTGTTCCTTCTGTAGTGACACCGACCCGCCCTGATTTTTTCAGAGGCCCCGTTCCGATGGTCATCTTCAGAGTAGTATAGAGGCCAAGATGGATATGAGCAGTTTTACCTAAGTTCCAAACCCTACAGCCTGACCCCCTTTAAAGGAAAACTGAGCCCTTAAAGCCCCAAACCTCAAACCCTGAATTCTAAACCCCGGGGTGGAACTGGCTCGACTGACATGTGGCCTTCTAACGAGTACGGTGGCAAGTGAGGGTGTTTCACTAGTTGGAGGCCGTCATGACCAGTGCCTGCTTTTACAAAGAAACCTCGAAAGCCCTAAACCCCAGACACCAAAGTCCCTAAACACTAAACCCGAGTACTTCCTGCATCAGTGTCGGCCTTGCATCCGCCGCTGTTTAACAGTTAACACATGGGTACTTCTCTAAATTAG